TATTAATTTATAAATGATAAATAGAGTACAAATTAATCTACCCTAGCCTAACCTAATCAATATATACAGGGTGTCCTAGATCACCCGTACACTCCTTTTCTTTCAAAAACTAAGCGTTGTAGAGAAAACCGTTTTGAACAAAAATGGTATGGTTTTGAGGGGAACATAAGATGGTGTCATTGATTTGACTTTGGATGGTATCGTTAAGGTCAAGTCATTCCATTTAAGAAATTAAAGGTGTCCTTGACTTGATCTTAACGATGCCATCCAAGGTCAAACCAGTGACACCATCTTATGTTCCCCTCAAAACCACACAATTTTTGTTCAAAACGTTTTTCTCTAAAATGCTTAGTTTTTGAAAGAAAAGGGGTGTACGGGTGGTCTAGGACACCCTGTATATTTGTATATAAGAATATACAGGGTGTCTCACAACCTCCGTACAATACTTTAATAGTGTATTCTAGAGATAAAATAGAGTAAAAAATTCTAATACAAAAAGTTTGAGGCTGCAATAGTTTTTGAGTTATAAGCGATCAAAGTTTGCCAATGATATCGCGTAGAGCTCGCGCGCTTAGATCCGTACACATACACACCGATCTGTCATCTGTTACTGATTTTACAAATTAGGTAATATTGGTTTTTATTGCACAGCTGATTTTATTGTTTCTTATGTATATGAATACCATGTACGGCGGGCAGCTGATATTAACGAATATTTAACAAACTATAAATGTTGTATGTAAAATATTTAATTTTTTTCTTAAATAACAATTTAAATGGTTGGTTAATTATTATATTTAAATAAAAATATAAACTTAATATCTTTACACATTTAAGAAACAAAGTTTATTTTTGTTTTGATCGCGCGGAGAAGTTTTGTGGAAATCAATTTATTTATTTTATCTGTCAACAATAACAGATGACAGATTAATACGTGTGTAAATGTAGTTACGAGCCTGAGGGCGCGAATTCTACGCAATATTATTGGCAAACTTTGATCACTTATAACTCAAAAACTATTGTAGCCTCAATATTTTTCTATTAAGATTTTTTACTTTATTTTGCCTCTAGAATACGCTATTAAAATATTGTACGGAGGTTGTGAGACACCCTGGTCGAACAATTAAGTTTCGAGATTCGCTTCGCATTTCCGAACATTTGATCCGTTCGTGCTACCATTTTAGGGAGTTATTCACAACTCAGTACTCAACACGTGGTGCAAGTTTTAAATTATTTGGTTCAATAGTTAATGAGATACAGTCATGCAAAGTAGTGTTACAAAATTTTGTTTATTAATCGGTGTAATGGAAAGAACCCACACAGAACAAAAACCTCTAATGGATGTCCAGTAGACGTCCATCATGGAGATTCGAAACCTCTATTAGATGTCCATGTAATCTCCTATAGATATACATATCTTATATTTTCAGAAATAATAGTAAGGAGCTCGTTTTGTTTTAATTTTATGGATTTTTTGCGGAATTCCATATTAAAGAAAAAAAAGAGTTTGAACTATTCAATGATTGGTGAAAAAAGATTGAAAGCTGTTAAAAACCGATTTAATCGATTTTTGGCAATATAATATTTTTTGCAAGGGTTCCTTATTAAAAATAATATTAGGAGATTAAGTTTTTTTTTTGGCGTGTTGTATGAATAATAATAAAACGTTACGCGCAAACTCCCTGGGATGTTAATGGAATAAATTTAGACGAATTTCCAAGTTACTAAAAGTTAATGGCAGGTTTATTGATTTCCGTAGAATATTACCATCTTACAATTTAAGGTGTAATTTCATTGGGATGTTGATGTGTTGTGAGGAATATAATATGAATAATTACAGTTATCTCTAATTTTAATGTATAAATTAAGAATTTTCTTTGTTTAGGCATGGAGTTATGGAGGTTATATGGACGTCCAATGGATGTCATGTTACGTGTAGGAACACTTGACAACGCGCCAACATTAAATTCTGCGTTAAATTAGAGAAGTCTCCAACAGAAACATTACAAATGATTCAACAAGCCTACAGAGAGTCAGCTATGCATAAGAGTAACATTTCGAAGATACAGATGACATAAAAAAAACGTGAATCAAACTTTGAAAGGGCTTGCTTCAGAGGACTAGGCTTGCTGAATCATTTGTAACGTTTCTGTTGGAGACTTCATTAATTTAACGCAGAATTTAGTTATTATGTTGGTGCGTTGTCAAGCGTTCCTTTCATTACACCGATTTTTAAACATAATTTTGTAACACAACTTTGCGTAACTGTATCTCATTAGTTATTGAATCAAATAATTTAAAACTTGCACCAGATGTTGAATATTGAGTTGTAAATAACCCTCTAAAATGGCAGCACAAACGGATTAAATGTCCGGAAATGCAAGGCAAGTCTCGAAACTTAATTGTTCGACCAGGGTGTCTCATTTTTTGTCTTAGTTTATCGGTCCCCTACACGCTCCTAAAGTTTTAACATTTAAATTAGGGACACCCTGTATATTTAATTGTTTTTATAACGCTTAATAAAGGAGTTATTATTGAGTAAAGTCTGGCCAACCAGCGCCGATCTTTAGCCGGGCGCACGTCGGTAAGCCGCGCGCCTGGTAGTATGCGGCGGTGCACACTTCACGACGCGCGGCTCACTGACGTGCGCCTGGTTAAAACTTTACTCAATAATGACTCCTTTATTAAACGTTATAAAAAAAATGGCTCAGGACTTTTCGTCTCAGTTTTTGGTAAGGAATAATGCTATGTACTTAGTGGGCGGTCATTACGGGTCACCCTGTGTATATATACAGGATGTCCCACCAAAAGTGGCCATCCCTTTTTATCTTTTAAACTAAAAGAGATAGACCGTAACAAATATATATTAAATTAAATGGTTCAAACTAAACTCTATTGTGAGCATAGTGGTTGCTTCCAAAAGCTATCTGTGTTAACGAACGGAGAGGTTTGCATAATTTTTGTATAATAATGTGAATATTTCGACATGAAAAAAGTTGTAGCGCTGTCAACTTGCCGCGATTGTGCACAATAAAAATGGAGAGGAACGACGGCGAAATAGACTAATAGCAGCTGTATGCATCAATGAATGTATAAATTTGCTTAACACCAGAGAAGTTCAGAAATTATTATCGTATGATAGCTACGCAATTTGAGGAATTGTTACATTTAGTGGCACCTTCAATCACTAAACAAACCGTGATTAGAGAACCATTATCTCCTGCAGAGCGACTATCTATAACATTGAGGTTTGTTTGTCACATTTATTGCGTGAGAGTGACGTCGCTAAATTCAACTTTTTAGCGGCGTCGCTTGGCGACAAAAACGCTGATAAAATGGAGGAGAATTCGGTCACGTGACCACTCATCGCTGCGACAAGCGACACCATGAAATTGTACCTTAATAATCCTTAATCGAATCGCTCTACTGTTTAGTAGAATATCTAACACTAAGTTTGTGTGGCCATGAATATATACAAGGTATCTGATAATAATCGCTCCACCCTTAATGTGCAAATAGAGCGGGTTAAACCGAGTAGGAAAGTCCTCTACCATTTTGCGATCTCCGCAATAATTAATGAGAAATTAATTTAAAAAATCGACCAATTCGCGCGAGTATTACTGCGCGGTGAGAAAGGACGGCCTAATATGAGCGGCATTGATATTATTGTGATTTTCTGTTCTGCTTGGGTAGTTGCTAAGACGCGAAGTCCTCTACCATTTTGCGATCTCCGCAATAATTAATGAGAAATTAATTTAAAAAATCGACCAATTCGCGCGAGTATTACTGCGCGGTGAGAAAGGACGGCCTAATATGAGCGGCATTGATATGTACCCAAGCAGAACAAAAAATCACAATAATATCAAAATGACATCATAATGACTATCAAAAGTCATTATGATGTCATTTCGATGTCATTTTGATGTCATTTGATATTATTGTGATTTTCTGTTCTGCTTGGGTAGTTGCTAAGACGCGAGAATCCATCATTACGTACCGTTCATACGTAACTGTTGTCATTTGTAGAGCGCTCCTCCCAAAACTTTGTCGCGTACCTACTTTTGGGTTGTCTCTTCTTGCTGCGCGCTTATACTCGCATGAATTGGTCGATCTTCTTTAATTAATTTCTCAATAATTATTACGAAAATCGCAAAATGGTAAAGAGCATTCCTGTTCGGTTTAACCCGCTCTACCTGTACATAACGGGTGAGACGATTATTATTAGACACCCTGTATACATATATATATATATATATATATCAGATTCATGCCACTTCCACGCCTGGGTAACGCCAAGTGCAGGAAATTTCAACCTTTGAAAGGTCGCCATTTTGGATGTCGTAGCGATTTAAAATTTTCAGGGTTTTGTTCGTCTTCAAAAGACTTTTCAAATAAGCCCCCACTTGAACCCTAGTGCCATTTAAAATTTTCAACCCTCATCCCATCCTTGCGCATCTGGGGCACTCATGCCGAAAGGTAGCTTTTTTGAAAAATTGGAACACGTATTTTACTGTTTTTCAATATTTTCATTTTTACACAAGTTATTTCGGGGTTTCCACACTTTTGATAAACCCTATATAAACAATTGTAGGCTTGGGAATTATAGTTAATTTTAATAAATTGTAAAAAATCAAATCGATAATCATGCACAATAAATCTAATTGGTATATACTTTTAGTAGATATCTCAATTCTCGATTAATAATTATATATAATTTAATGTGTATCTTTTATTGTACAGTACTTAAATAAAACAATAGTGTAATTTTATTTGCGCAGATACTGTAGCTATTTTAGCATCATCATTTTTTTACATTATTATTATTTTAGCAAAGGCTACGATTTATTAATTCCCAGTGATATATATTTAGTCTTTCAATCATTCAATGTATATAAATAATGCGGAGAGAGTACCCGATCGATTATAAAAGATATATTTTTCTTTCTAGCTATCGTGGGACATGATCCGCAGACGAGCAACAGCAGTCAGCCGCAGTTGCAACAGCAGCAATTACAATCTGGGGGTTGGCTGGGGGGCGGTGTCAGTGACACTGGCAGCGGACTGGTCTGCCGATCATCGTCAAACAAATCGATCAACGGCAGCGGCAAGTCGTCGTTATGTCATCATCCTCAACAACAGCAACAACAGCAAGGCCAATCTGGGAGTATGGGGGATGACGAAGACGGGGGTGGAGGGAGCGGAGGGCTGGAGGGGACGGACGCAGAGGCGAACAACGCTGTTCACCTCAAGAGACGGGTGGGACTCGTCAGTGGGGTGGCTCTAATCGTCGGCACGATGATCGGCTCCGGTATCTTCGTGTCGCCGTCGGGTCTGCTGCTGCGTACCGGCAGCGTCGGCATCAGTTTCGTCGTGTGGACCGCATGCGGTCTGCTGAGTCTGTGCGGCGCCCTCGCCTACGCCGAGCTGGGCACCATGAATACGAGCAGCGGTGCCGAATATGCGTACTTCATGGATGCGTTCGGCGCACCGCCTGCTTTCCTCTTCTCTTGGGTGTCCACCCTGGTGCTCAAGCCGTCGCAAATGGCGATTATCTGCCTGTCATTCGCCCAGTATACCGTCGAAGCGTTCACCGTCGATTGTGAACCACCCGATCAAGTGGTCAAGGTCGTCGCCCTGCTGGCAATCGTTTTGATACTCTTGATCAACTGTTACAGCGTCAATCTGGCCACTGGCGTACAGAACGCCTTCACCGCCGCCAAGCTGATGGCGATACTCGTGGTAATTGTCGGCGGTTCGTACAAATTGATACAGGGTAACACGCAGCATCTACAAACGGCGTTCAACACTATTGACGGCAGCACTATCAACTTCGGCCGCCTCGCCACTGCTTTCTACACCGGCCTCTGGGCTTACGACGGCTGGAATAATCTGAACTACGTGACCGAAGAGATCAAGAACCCTTCCAAGAATCTGCCCAGGTCCATCATGATCGGCATACCACTCGTCACACTTTGTTACGCGCTGATCAACATATCTTATCTAGCGGTCATGTCACCATCGGAAATGATCGAGAGCGAGGCTGTGGCAGTAGTAAGCATTGAGACGTGTCGATGAAAAAAGATATTATTCTTTCGTAACAATAGGGAACAAAAATTATCTTTAAGAAAAGCGATAACAAGGTAATAGAAGCACAGAACATGTGTCCTTCAATTTTTTGTTCAATATCGCTTTAGAAGTTGAGTTGTAGAATGATCTAGAGATAACGGTTGGCTTGTCAAATCCGAGATATTGTAGGATATCAATTGGGTTACTTCGCTCCGAACAATTCGTTGCCATATTCCGAAGGATTAAGATCCTTTGCGTTTTGCAGACATTCGGCAATCGGATACTGGGTGTGATGGCATGGCTGATGCCGCTTTCCGTAGCGATTAGCACATTCGGGTCCGCTAATGGCACTCTATTCGCTGCGGGCAGGCTCTGCTTTGCTGCGTCGCGAGAGGGTCACCTGCTCGATTGCTTGAGCTACGTACACGTGCGACGCTTCACTCCTGCGCCAGGCCTCATCTTCCATTCCCTCGTAGCAGGTATTACGCAATACGAATTATTGTTCTAAACTCTCTTTCAGATCGTTTCTTGGACGTTTGAGTATCCTAATTAATTTTTCAATCCTTTATAACCTTTATATTATTTGAGATTTTACTTTATATAACATACGTTGTGTTTTTTCCAAGGTGAAATTGTCGCTACCGTTTTGACTTCAAGGTATCTAGACGCATTAAGCCAAGTCATTGATTTCGCAGGCGCGATGGTTCTCTCTGGCAATATCGACTCGTTGATTGATTTCTTCTCATTCACTGCATGGATATTCTACGGCGGCGCGATGCTCGCTCTGCTGGTAATGCGGAGGACCAGACCGAACCATCCGCGACCGTACAAATGCCCGCTAGTGATACCTGTGCTTGTGCTCATCATCTCTGCATATCTCATAGTGGCGCCGATTATCGATAAGCCGCAGATCGAGTACCTGTACGCGGCCGGCTTCATCAGCGCAGGCATGCTCGTCTACCTCCCGTTCGTAAAATTTGGATATGTGCCCAAATTCATGGGTAAGTATACGTCACTACATTGTTAAAATAAAATCCGAATCGCAGAGTTCAGACGTCCAGACATTTCACAATATAGAGCGTCCTGTACCAGTTATTGTCTGATCGTGAACTGAAATAAACTTCCAGAAAAAAATAGAAATATTTGTTAGTAATTAAAATTTCAAGTCTGAAATTAAACTCAAAAAAATCTAGAGAATTCTTCTAAAAATCTCAGATTAACATTAAAACTAAAAAATGGATCTTGTGTGAAAAGCCTATATGAAAAACTATTAAAGTTTAGAGCTTTTAAAATTTTGAAAGTCTAAGATGTATATCAAAATTTTAAAAAGAGAGATACTTAAATTTCAAGAAATTGCAGAGGTTGAAATTCTCATTAAAAAAAGAATGAAAATTTAATATTTAGAACATCTTTTATTTTTCTACTGTACTTTAGTATGCCTTTAAATTTTCTATTGAATATTCGTGTTTATTTTCCAATTGCAGAAGGTGTCAATGCTTTTCTGCAGATGTTACTAGAAGTGGCTCCAACAGCAGTTGCCTTCGACTGATTTCGAGAGGTACAATTCTCCAGATCAACAGTTCTTCAGGATGCCGAATCATTCCATTATGGCATTGCGCGAACTGTGTACACCTGAATAATCCTATTTTAAATACATACAGACAAGAGCGTTATATATCCTATATTACAAAGCTCAAGGCTGACACAAAAAAAAAAACGGATCCATAAAAAAATATATATATTATATAAAAATATATTATTTTACTACTTGTTATTCTTCGTATATAGTATACAACACGCAGAAAAGATGTTATTGTTAGACAATAGATAGTTGATGTTGTAACAAGACAGCAATGAATCAACAGAAAATATTTTAAATGTTTACAGTTACAAATTGGCCTCTCTTTTTCTTTGTATATCCTTCTATTTTTCTCCCATATCTTCCTAAGAAAAAGATGATATCTAAATTGTTATGTATCATTTTTAATTTCCAATATAGTTTCAATATATATTATTAATTTTTTCCTAAGCTATATTTCTTAGGAATAATTAATTTAATTTAACTAAAATATCTAATTAAAAAGTTAGTTAACAAAGGATAGTTTTAATAATTACAAATATAGTCAGTTTTTATTCTCCCAATTATAATCTTTTTTTCAAAGATACTTCATTTTTAAGTCTCAACAAGTTTCTTTCTCCCGGACTCTAGCAATTTTAGTAAATTTTCAGAGGAGATTTCAAATATTTACCAATAAATTCAGCTCTTCTGTTTGGCCAAGGCATCCTTTGGTACCTTTCCATAAATGCCTAAAATGCCACTATCTTTCTTGTGTACTTTCTTGGACTTAGGTCTGAGCAAACTACTAGTAAATCCAGATGTATGTTTCTCTTCTTTCTTCCTTTGTTTCTCTATTATTCGACTCTTCTTTAATGTTTTATAATTCATTTTTCTATTTTTAGCAGGTATCGCACCTAAGCTGATGGCAAGCTCGACTTTTGCTTTTTTTGCTTTTGGTTTCTCAAAGCCAGACATACCGAATTTAATAACATCATAACGCATCCTCTTCATTTCCTTTTCTTGTTGTTCTTTCAGTTCAGTAGGCGTTTGCTTTGTTTTGGAATCCTTCTGTTCCTCATTATCGTGCAAACCATCTGCAGGTTTTGACTTTTTCTTTGGAGCTTCATAACTCACAGAGACATAGTCACTTGTCGCATTCTTCTTGATTTGGGACACACGCGTTGGCACAAAGTCTCCCATTCTTATCTCTCAACCACTTTTCTTCAATTAAAAAAAAATATATTATTAGAAAAAAATATAT